GAGGTGTGTCCTGCCGAAGCTCTTCAGCACAGTGCGGGGTGACTCCCGCAGCTGTAGCCCGTCCCGGCTCCAGCAGGTCCTCTCGGCCTCATCCTGTGTCTCCACGCAGAAAACTGCATTCTCCCCCTCCATCACATCCAGCTTCCGTGGCAGCCGTTTCACAATCACCCCTATGGAAAGAGATATATGTATGCTGGGGAGGGCTGCTGGGCAAAAGAGTGGGCTCTTTGAGGTGGGAAAGAGGAGGAGGAGGGCAGGGGGAGGAGGAGGGGCAGCAGTAGGCACCACAGCCAAATGAAGGGAAGGAAAATGCAGGGGCAGTGGGGACCCTGGCAAGGAGGGGGATGAGAAAAACAAAGCCATGCCACCAGAGACCTGACCCCCACCTCGGACAGAGACCTCGGCAATGCTACGCCCCTTGTCCTTCATCTGGCAGAGGTAGATGCCGTCGTCATCAGTGCGGGCATCGCGGATGGTCAGGCGCCGCACCACCCCTTGCTCTTCCATCACGTACTTGTGGCTGGGCTGCAGCTCCCTGTCCTCCAGGTACCAGGTGGTGGGGATGGTCTCCAGTGGTACCTGGCACTCCAACACAGCATCCTCTCGTTCTGCCACCTCCACATCTGCCAGTTGCACCTGGAACCGCAGCCGGTGCTCTGCCACCAGAAGAGACAGGAGCTGAGGGCGTGCAGGGTGCAGCACTCACCACGGCCCTTTGCTCACTTGTTCCCAGCTCACAAAGAGCACTGAGCCCTTGGCCCTCCTCTGTCCTCTCCTTTGGCCTGCATAAGATGGACACTGCCTTGAGAAACACATCCCTCAGAGCAGGGAGACCATAATACAGCCTGAGGAGACCCAGGGATGCCCCCAGTATCTCAGCAGGGAGTTTTGGGGGATGCAGGAGCATGGAAGACAACACACTGTGGTTGGTATTTTAGCAGAAGGGAGTAGTAGGGTGCACAGGCAGGGACTGCACCAGGGATAGGATCACTCCAGCTATGGGTTCTCTCCAGCTGGCAGGGTGGCTCGGGGGGGACGGGGCTACTGTCAGTGAAGACGGTTGGAGCCTTGCCCTGCAGGGCTGCCTGCCAAAATCACTCAGCATTTCCAGGGGAATTTGTCACCAAGGCACTGTCCCCCTTCCCTGTTCATGGCTGGACACCCACAGCCATCCCGAGAGGCCACCTCTCTGTTTGCAAGAGAGGGACACGGAGGGGGGCACAGCTCACAGAGGAGCCCAGCATCTGCTGCTTCCAGCCCACAGCTCTATCCTGAGGAGCCTGAGGTGACCCTGGCTGCAAAGGGCAGGAGGGATCCTAGAGATGCTGGGCTCCCACTCCTACACAGACACACTCCTGCCAGACAAAACTCCCTGGACCCACCCAGAGCCCAGCCACCCCTGGCACTGCTTGGACAGGCTCCTACCTTTCACCTGGAGCTGCACTGCACTGAGGGTCTGTCCAGCAGTGTTGGAAGCAGTGCACATGTACAGCCCCTGGTCCTGCAGCTTGCAGTACAGCACCTTGAGGATGAAGTAGCCCTCCCGGTCCTCATAGATGAGATGCCTGCGGCCAGGGGCGAGGGGCTCACCATCCTTCTGCCAGACAATCTCTGGCTTGGGCTTGCCAGTAACGTAGCAGCGGAACTTGGCATGCTTCCCCACGCTCACGGCAAACGCCTTAGCCGCCGGCACCCTGGCCGGCACTATGCCATTGGGCACCCAGATCTCTGGTCCCATGCGCCGTCCCACTGTGTGCCGCCGCCGCCGCTGCCGCTCCACCAATGGCTCGGGACCATTAGCAGGAGATCCATTGGGAAGCCCATCCAGCGGTGCCTGGGGTTCGACCAGGAGCACAGCAGCAGCCAGGGCCTCCCGGGAGCCACTGCGTGCCCGGCAGACATACACACCCCCGTCCGGGGGCTGGGCACCAAACAGCTTCAGGAAGTGCCAGTCCTCAGGCTTCTGCCCCACTGTGAAGTGACTGCTCTCAAAGAGGTCTGAGAGCTTGTGCCCATCCTTCTCCCACTCCAGCACTGGGCAGGGCTGCCCAGACACTCTGCAGGTGAACATCACATCCTCCCCGCGGCACACCCTCATGGACGAGGGGGCAATGAGGAAAGCAGGTGCCTCACTACCCAAGCATCCCTCTTCCTCTCGGGGCTCTGCCGCCTCCACACTGAGTGCAGTGGCAGCATAAGTCTCACCAACGCTGTTCTTGGCCTTGCAGATGTAGAGCCCACTGTCCTGGGGTCTGGCACCAGACACCAGCAGGCTGTACAGGTCCCCCTTGCTCTCCATATGGAAACGGCTTGAGGGTTCGATGGGTTTCTTATCCTTTTCCCAGAGAATGCTTGGCTGGGGATCACCTCTAATCTGGCAGCTCAGGACCACATCAGTGCCACTTTGGACAGTGAAAGCACGTGGATAGGCCAGGAACCTAGGGGCTCCCCCAAACCCCTCCATCACCACCTCCCTGTGGTCACAGCAGGCAGCTGGCTGGAGCAGCAGTGGGGACCATCAGCCTGCGGAGATATACAGACAGACCAGGGTGGGGGCTCAGGCTTTATCAAAAGGACTGACCAGTGGGGAGCCCCACCAGGAGGGACCCACACCCAGAGCAAAACTCCCAGCACGGACCCCATGCTGCAGGAGCATCACCTTCTCTCTGAGCAGTTCAGCCGCACTGGATATGCTCCTGCCTCACCCAAATCACCCATTTCCCAGCCCACAGGAATAGGAGAGTTGATAAAAAGCAGCTCTTTGCGCCAGGGCTCAGGGCACTCACAGCCTACCTACCCCAGGGTTGCAGAGGGGACCCAAGCTTAAGCAGTGGGCAAACCCTGCCTAGACAGGGAGCACAGGCACTTTCTTGCTGAGGCTGGGGGACGATGGAGGCAAGAGGGCCCCCCTCCCACCCCTTCCCCACCCCGCCGGGCATTCCTGCAGTATCGGGTGGTGGCAGAGCCGCATTCCTACAGCATCTGGGCCGGCTCAGCAGGCAAGTGCTGACACAGGGCTGTCACAGGCACGAGGCCCCAGCTGAATCCGGGTACTTCCTCCCAGACTTGGATGGGCAGACGACCCACCCTGTGCCCGGCAGCCACCCCAGAGGGCCATGCCCTGGGGCAAAGTGGGCTCCCCCAGGAGAAGGTTCCCCTCCAGAGTGTGGTCCCACAGGCAGGATTCAGCCTTTACACGCTGAAAGCCATGGCTGGAAATGATCAGCCCCAAGGGCAAAGGGAAGACCAGGGCTGTGGGTCCTGCTTTTGGAGGGCATTGCCTCCATCCCCAGCTTTCTGGGTAACCGTGCCCACCATCACAGGCAGGAGCAGGGCAGGGTGCTCTGTGCCTCCCCGGGTTAGTGCACTGCAGCCTCTGCCCACACCTTGGTCGGGGCTGGAGCAGGATCTGTCTCTGCCTTGCTCGGGTATGGAGAGGGGAAACAAGAATACTCCCTGAATGAGCCAGAGGGGACTGTGGGAGAGGGCTGTTCCCCAAGAATTGAGAAGGGACAGCTTCTCCCAGCGCCCTACCCCTGGAACAATGCACACATTCAGAGTCACCTCCCCGGCCAAACACTCCCCTGACCCACAACCCACCCCACCCCACAACAGCCTCTGCAGATGCAGACAGACCTGATGGCTCAGCCTCCCCACTGCACCCTTTAACCACCCCCTTCCCTGAACACCGTGCCCCAGGCAGCCCCTCAGCCCAGTCCCCATCTCCACACACGCACCTCGGTCTGCTGCCGCTCCCCTGTGTCTCCCAGGGCCGGCACCCAGCTCCTGCTGCTTCCCCCAGCTCTGCTCCTGGGTGTCAGTGCACAGGGACCAAACGTTATAAATGCCTGCAGCTGCTGTCCCCAAAAATACCCTCTGATGACACGCTGGGTTGATAAGACCAAGCCTGCTCCATTCAGCGCCTCGCTGAGGCAGGGCTGGCCTACCTATGTATAGCAGCCTGGTGGGAGCCACCCCAGAGAGCTGGGGTGCCACGGCCCCAGCTGTGGCTCAATAATGGCTCAGCCAGCAGCGGGAGACAATGCACCACGTGGGATGCAAAGCGCAGGGCGCATGGTGTGGGGAATATGGAGTAGGATGCCAGACTTCAGGGGAGAGGACATGACATACAGGATGTACTGCATGGGGTGGGATGTACCGTACTGGATGCTGCATGAGATACCAGGCTGAGGATGGGATGTGCAGGACACTGGGTTGTGGGAGGAACAGAGGGGGTACACAGACTGCCCACCACCCACAGGGCAGGCAGGGCTGACGAATCGAATCAGGAACACCTGGCACTGTCCCCTCAGGTAGCCGTGAGAGGAAGGGCACTGGGTCCCCTTGCAGCCTATGCCTCTCCTACAACTCCCACACTATGGCCAGCCAGCCCAAAGAGCACTCCAGGATCCTTTGCCTGGCACTGCTGGAGGGTCTCCAGGTGGCTTGGCTCTGTCTCACCTCTTCTCTCCCTGAAGCTGGCCCAGCATTCCCCAGTCCCAGCCCCAGGGACCTCTTGCCGTCCCTCCTGCTTCATGTCTCCAGGACCTTGCCACATTCCAGTGTCCTGGAGATGCCACAGCCACCCCACCCCTAGCCTGCTCTCCCTAGGGCCCCATCCTCACATCCTGGTTGCCCTAGCTTGTCCTAGTGATCCCAGTGCCCAGCCTGTATGCCCCAACTTGCCTCCCCATGCCAGAGCCTCACAGGGCTCTGAAACCCATCAGGTCCTTGCCCAGATTTCCCTGCTGTGCACAACTGCTGTCACATCCCACTCTTCCCCCTGAAGCCCCAGATTTCCAGTTCCTGCACCATGGGGGGCACCCAGCACCAGCAGCTGCAAAGCTTGCTCAGGGTGCCCCCTCTATCCCTGCCAGCACAGGAAAACCTTCCTGGCAGCACCCTGCCCACAGCCCGGCCTCCCCAGCCCCATGCACCCGCTGCTCCTAGCAGCATCCCCCACACACACCCCCCTTGCCCAGGCGCTGCTCCCCCCCCCCAGACCACACTGTCCTTGCAGTCCTCACATTCCAGACGTCTCAGCGCTTTCACAGCCCAGAGATAATATTCACGGCGAGCAGACGTTTGCGTCAGTGTCAGATAGATCTCAATGCCACCCTGCCCCAGGGGGAGCACAGCGGGCAGACAGGCTGGGCAGGCAGGCAGAAGCCCACGGCAGAGCCCCCGGAGCCACCGGCCTGCTGCACGCCCCACGGTCATGCTGCTCCTCCTGCACCTGCTGCCTGCCATGCTGCCCACCGCTGCCCTGGCCAGCTGCACTGGGGCGGGTGCCGACAGGCAGCTCATCCTGGCCAAGGTGCGGGCTCGGGTGCTGGAGCATCTGAGCCCCCCGCTTCTCCAGGAGGAGCCCCAGATGGAAGCAAGGAGGGTATACCGGAGAGACATCCTTGAAGACAGTGAAGTTGAGCCAGAGGAGCTGGAGGACACCTCCCAGGTGATCTTATTCCCTTCCACAGGTAAGAACATTCTGGTGGAATGAAGAGGGCAGAGGGGTAAGCAGGGTGGGGGCTTGGGGCAACACAGATGCTGAAGGATGGAGAGAGAGGTGGCTGTGGTGGTCTGCAGAAGGGAAAGAAGTTATGCCAGGCTGGGGCATGGATATGGGCAAGATTTGGTAGAGAGCCAGGATGGGGGAAAGGTATGTCAGGCAGGGACAGGCAGAGCAGCCTAGTACAGACAGGGAGAGGTGTGAGCAGCACAAGAGAGTGCTGAGAGGCTGAGGAACATCTGGCCAGGCAGGATGCAGAGACATGGGTAGGGCTGAGGAGCAGGCAGGATGAAATAGGGTGGGATGTTAGGGAATAGATCAGGATACTGGAAAATGGGATGGGATACGAAGGGACAGAGCAGGATGCTGTGGGATGGGGTAGGCTGACCAGCTATAAAGCACAACAGTGGGAGATGGGGCAGAGTGCTGGGGGATGGGATAGGATGTGGATGCTGGGGGAAGGCAGCAGGATGACCAGCTATGGGGCAGGGCACTAGGAGGTCGGGCAGGATGCTGGGGCAACACTAATGGACCAGCCCAGGGCATAAGCAGGACTCAGCTGTGGGGCACAGCACAGAAGCTGCTGTGTAGCACTACACAGCAGCTCCCCTGCACCCTGCCACAGCCTATGCTGGCAGCCAAGTGCCCTGCCAGCACTCCAGGGACCCTCTGCAACATTTCACCTGCTACCTGGCACTGGGGACTCTCCCCAGGTTTGGGCACACACACTGATCATCTTTTCCCTACCACAGACGTGCCCTGTGAGCCCACACAGCCGGACAAGTTGCTGGAGGAAGAAGGGATTTTCAGCTATCTCTTCCAGCCCTCAGAACACACCCTGAGCCGCGTGGTGACTTCTGCCCAGCTCTGGTTTTACACCGGTCCCTCGGCCACCCCGAACCACTCAGCCCCTGACGTGCTGGCCCTGTCACCACAGGGCCGGGTGCCGGTGACAGCCATGGCAGAGCAGACACCTGAGCACTGGACAGTGTTTCACTTGGCCCCGATGCTGCTGCCCCAGCTCTCGCAGCCACTCTTCGTGCTCCTGGTGCGCTGCCCTGGCTGCCCCTGCCTCGCCGATGGGGACAAGATGCCCTTCTTGGTGGCCACCACCCGGGCCAAGGGCAGTGAGAGGGCTCGTCGCTCCACTGTGCCCTGGTCCCCAGCTGCACTGAGCCTGCTGCAGCGCCCATCCGAGGACTTGGCCGCCCACACCAACTGCCGCCGGGCTTCCCTCAACATCTCCTTCGAGGAACTGGGTTGGGACAAGTGGATCGTGCATCCCAGCAGCTTCGTTTTCCACTACTGCCATGGGAGCTGCGCCGCAGGCCATGGGCTGAGCCACCGGCTGGGCGTGCAGCTCTGCTGCGCTGCCCTGCCCGGCACCATGCGCTCCCTGCGCGTCCGCACCACCTCCGACGGCGGGTACTCCTTCAAGTACGAGACAGTGCCCAACATCCTGGCCCAGGATTGTACCTGTGCCTAGAGCATCCCACAGCCCAGCCCCAGACTGTGATCCCACTGAGGAGGAGTTGCTTTCCCAGTGGGACCTTGGCCCCACACTGCAGGGACCAAAGGGACCTGGAGGAGCATTTTGGGCTGTGCCACCCTCCCCTGCACAAGCCAGAGTTTTGGGCTACCCCAGGTACCATCACACTGCCAGACCTACCCTAGGGCAAGTCCCTGCCCATTGGGGCATGGCAGGGCAGGGCTAGGCACAGCCTCTGGCCAAGGCACCATTGCCCTGCCAAAGCCAGGCTGCTGTCTGCAACCAGATTAGCCCCCATCTCTCTCCACCTGCTCCCCTCCCTCAATTCTGCCCCTCCCCAAAGACTGGGATCCCTCTTCTGCTGCAGAATTCAACAGCCTCCCCCTGCTCCAGGCAAGGCCAGGCTGCTGCAACAGGATCAGAATGTGCCTGGGCGAGCCCATGACGGGACCTCACACTGGCAGGGCTAGCTGCATGCATGGCACCTTAAGTGAGCCCTCTCCCGGCGGCACAGCTTGTTGGAAAGTTTAACAGGATGAGTGAAATAAACCTGTTCCCTTTACTAAAGCAGCGTGGAAATGTTAGCTTCTATCAGAGGCAGCCACGGGGGTGGCATGCAGTTGTGCAGTGGGATGCAACCTCTCTGGGGGACTTCTAGATGGAGAAGTGAGGGGACGGGCAAGTACTTTAGAGGTATCCAACTCTGACCTAGGGTACCAGAGAGGGGACTGGGTCTGCTGGCCAAAACTGGAATGGCATGGCTGGGTTTGAACCCGCCCTGGGCACGGGAGCATAGGGCAGAGTAACATCCCTTCTGCTCCGGGGAACAGGTTGTGGAGGAATGGGGGCGACAGAGGGATGGGGAGGCATGGCGATGGTGGGAGGATGGGGAGGCACGGGAAAGCCCCTCACCCGGCCCCTCGACAGAGATAGGGCCAAATAGGAATGTGGCCAGAGCAATCCCTCTCCACCAGGCCGATGATGAAAGCTGCCCCGTCACAGCCTCCACACAGCAGGAACGACTGAGTCACCCTGGGCAGTGGGGAGGTCCAGGGCACGCGCTGCAGTCCCGGCCCAGCCATGGAGGATTCCCTTCCCACCCCTTCCTCCGGAAGGACCAGATGCAGCAGTTCAGTACAAAACGTCTTCAGCCTTTACTAATATAGATATTAAAAAAAAAAAAAAAAAAAAAGGAAGAAAAACAGAGTGACAATTATTTCCGAGTAAAAAACAACGCTACAAAAGTCCCCGTGTGACCCAGGCTGAGATGATGAGAAACGCTCCACTGGCTCCTGGCCGAGCCCAGCTCGGGGCACCGTGTCCCCACACTGTGGGGCCAGGGTCTGGCTCTGTGTGTGGGGTCCCAGCCCCGCAGGAAGAGTGGGAGGAGATGAGTTTTGGTCCAAGGGCGACCTGCCAGGACAGGGCGGAGGCAGCAGGAAGGACAGCCCCTGACCTCTGCACAGACATTTCTGAGCAGGCCAGCCCACAGCTCACACCCCCGTGCCAGGATGCAGCACACCACGGCCATACTGGCCCTATTCTGGCAGCAGTGCCACCAGGACCCCTTCCATCCCCTCCACTTCAAGTGTAATGCCAGCCCAGCTCTCTGTCCCACAACTCAGCCCAGCCAACCAGACCCCCAGCCTGCTCCCCTAAAGCCCCACACCTTGGGGGCAGTACCAAAATCACCAGCATCACCCTGGTGATGCACATGCACAGCACTGGCTGGTGCTGCAGCGGGTGGCAGCTAGCATGGGGGGCACAGGGAGGTGTGAGGAGAACATGCTGCAGAAAATGGGTGTGGGAGGAGGAAAAGAAGGTGAAATGGGAGATAGGGAAGCATAGGCCCAGAAGGGATATCAGGATGGAGTATAAAAATGCCAGGGTGCACACGCAGATGAGTTTATAAAAATGTACAAAAATAAGATATTCCCTTTTTGAAAATTAAGTAGGAATGAACCCCATGGCCCCCGTCCCCTCCACTGCCCACCAGGACAGGGCTGCCCAGACTGCCCTGCTGGACAGGCACATGGTATCCTCCACCCTGTGCTCCTGGCAGGATGCCTGTCCCACGGTGGCAGCAGCAGCCGCTCCAGCAGTCACCGCCATCTTTCCTGGTGGCACTCACAGCCCTGTGGGGAGCAAGAGGCAGGTTAGCCCCAGCCCCAGGTGGAATGGCATCCCCTCTCCAGGGGAGCCTAGGAGCAGCCCTCCATGCCCCCTCCCCAGCTCACCCGTGGTCCTGTCGCAGGCGGTGGTCCCCTTCTCATGGGCGAGGTTGAGGCGGTTCTGCTCGGCGGCAATGCCGTTGGCCTCGGGACTGGTGCTGCGGGCAGGGCTGGGCGGCCGCGGCGGGGGCTGGAGATGGAAGGCCACCTCCAGGTGCTCCTGGGCCAGGCGCAGATGCTCACGCAGCCGGTCCAGCTCATGCGCCGGGGGAGCCCCAGCCAGGGCAAAGCGCCCCTGTGCCAGGCTCTCCCGGTAGTCCAGCTTGCCGTTGGTCAGCGGGGCCTGTGGCAGCTCCTTCTTCAGCGAGTGGTAGGTGGGGGGTGCACTGGGGGCCTTCTTGGGGTACTGTGGCGCAGGACTGTCGCCATTCGGGAGCGGGGGGCCACCAGACTGGCTCAGGGCATCACGGATGCGCCCCACACCAAGGTGCAAGAGCTCGCAGAGGTTGAGGAAGAGACAGAGCCCGCTGACAGCATACATGATGAGGAGGAAGATGGTCTTCTCGGTGGGGCGGGAGACAAAGCAGTCGACGGTGTGCGGGCAGGGGCTGCGGCTGCAGACGTAGGAGGGGCTCACCTCAAAGCGGTACAGCAGGTACTGCCCAAAGAGGAAAACCATCTCTAGCAGTGAGCGGCACAGCAGGTGCAGAACATAGGCACGCATCAGCCCATCCTGCTTGATGCGGCGCCGGCCATCGTGCTTCTCTCCACCCTCTGGACTCTTCTCCTTCTCCACCTCGATCTCCTCAAAGATCATGGGGTCTTCTTCGTTATCATCTTCTGCCTCCTCATAGTCCCGCCCGGCTCCCCGGCGCACCACCGGCATGCGTGCCCGCCGGGCTGCTGGTGTCCGGCGCCGTGAGGACTCAGGCATGCGAGCGATGCGGTGCATGGCAAAGCCCAGGTAGAGCACTGATGGTGTGGCCACCATGATGATCTGGAAGATCCAGAAGCGGACATGGGAGAGGGGGGCGAAGGCGTCGTAGCAGACGTTCTCGCAGCCTGGCTGCTGCGTGTTGCAGACAAATTTGCTCTGCTCGTCGTAGTAGATGGACTCACCCCCCACGGCTGTCAGCACAATGCGGAAGACAATGAGGACGGTCAGCCAGATCTTGCCTACAAAGGTTGAGTGGTTGTTGATCTCCTCCAGGAGCCGTGTCAGGAAACTCCAGCTCATCCTGGCTAGGCAGTTGACTCAAACCCTGTGGGGAAGGGGCAGGCAAACAGGCACTGAGAGAATCTGCATGCACCTCACTAGGACCATCCAGTCCACCAGCTCCCACCCCAGCTCCCTCCTGCTCCCTTTCCCACAGATTCACAAACACAGCCCTGCTCAGGCAGCCATCTCCCCAAAACTTCATCCCCTGCCACGCATCGCCTCCCTATGTTCCCATCTGCATCCTGCTCCCGCCCTGTCGCCAGCCAGGTGGGTGGACGGAACCCGGGGAAAGGCTGGGACATCCTGGTTCCCTGCAGGGACACATCTAGGGGAAGAGTCAGCACAGTCACAGCCAGAGTAAACATGTCAGCACAGGGCAGCACCAGCTGGGGACTGTGAGGGGTCAGGCAGAGGCAGAACCACCTCCTCTGCCTCCATTTGCCATCTGGCCTTGGGCAGATCCTCAACCAGTGCCGCACTCTGTGACAGCACCCACACCCTCCCATGGGGCTCCACAGGCCCCTAAGAGGGCATGCAGCAGCCCCACTGGGCCACTGCAGCTGCCAGCCCTGAGCCCTGGCCAAGGGGGGCTCCCCTGAGGAGCATCTCCCACCACGTGCTTACAAAGCAGATGTTCTGCACCCCACAAAGCTCTCCCCTGTGGACCAGCATAGATGTAGCACCACTTTGCCCCTCCAAATCTCTGTGCTGTGCACTTTCTCCTGCAGGAACACCTAGCCTCCAAAGCACACAATGGCCAGTGCTCAGAGCAGCCTGAAGGCCGATGGCAAGGGCTGGCAGGGGGAATGGAACAGGAGGTAGGACAGTGATAGCAAGGGGCAGTGTGGGGCAACCAAGGAATTGCACAAAGCCCTGGCGAAGAAGCTGACACCAGAGCGCAGGGAGGAAATTGCAAGGACCACGTCACAGCTCCCAGCCAAAAGAGAAGACACAAGAGGAGACACCCCACCGCCACCACTGGGCTTCGGCAGCTTGTGCATGAGATGATGCAAGGGCATCAAGTGGCAGGGCTGCCTGGGGCAAGAAGAGGGGATGTCCCCAGTCTCCCCTGCCAGTCCCATCTCATCACCTCCAGCCACAGCATGTCCTAAAGGATGATGGCTGCCACTGCACTCATGCCACTATTGTCCAGAACAAGAGGATCTTTCAGGTTTAGTTCAGCCTGCCTCCTGACCAACCCCACCTAAACAGAAGAGCTCCTCCAGCACAAGCATCCATGCTGGGGACATGCTCTTGCTGATGGCCTGGTGGGAGGTGGCACAGGCTGGCACTGGGGATCCAAACCCAGCCCATTAGGGCCACCATCCTCCTGTGGTCAAACGCCCTGCAAGATCTCCCTGCTGTCCCGTCCCACAAAGGGCACTCTCCTCCCCCCACCTCACTGGAAGGAGGATGCTTTGTGTCTCCTTTAGCCCTTGCCTGCAGCAGCAGCACACTGCCCTGGCACCAGGGTGAGGGGCTTGGGCAGAGAACAAGGTGAGGGGACCAGGCATGAGGGCAGCCCTGGAAGGCATCAAGCACATGGAAAGCAAAAGCACACGTTGGCATTGTCATGGTGGCCATGGAAGAGTGACACAGGGAGGGCCAGCAGCATGGAATGGCAGCAGCAGTGGGCATGGCTGGGACAACACAGAGCTGCCCTCAGCTTCTCTCTCACCAGAGGTAGGCGGCCAGAGTCCAGCTCTGCCAAGGGGCACAGCCCTCCAGGGCCTCCTGGCCACGCTGGGAGTCAAGACTAGCACCACACACCTTGGCTGGGCCCTACATCTATGCCTCAGCCCTACTGACCCCAGTCCCCTCATCCGGGGCCCCCAGTCACCTCTGCCCCTGCCTGCACTGTTCAGGGCCCCCAGTCTCCCCTGCCCAGGAGCACAGCAGCAGGCATCCCATCTTGGGGCTCACCAGCCCTTGCCCGCTCGGGGACCCCTGTTCCACTGACCCCTGCCACTCTGGGGACCCAGCCACAACCCCAGCCTTCCCGGGGTTCCCGGTCCCACTGACTCCAGCCCACCGCGGGCCTCAAGCCCAGCTACCCCCACCACCTGCCCGAGACACCCAGCTCCTCGATCCTCCCTGCCCGCGCCCCAGCCCACGCCTGGGGCTCTCGCTTCCCGGGGCACCGTCGCCTGCTCACCTGCCTCCCCTTGCCCACAGCCCCCCGCTCCCTGGCCCCACTCACGGCGCACCGGGACGAGCGGCTCCCGCCGGCAGCGGCGGACAAAGCGGCGGGGCGGCGCGCCGCCGCCTCCCGCCGAACAAAGGGCCTGGGGCGCGCCGCCTGCCCCGCGCCCGCCCGCCCGCCCGCCGGTGCGTACCGACCGCCCCGCTCCGTACCCCGCCCCGCCCCGCTCCGCTCCGGCCGCCCCGCTCCGACCGCCGGCCGCGCCACGCGGCGCGCAGCTCTGGCCCCGTTCCGGCCCGTCCCGCGCCCGCCGGGCGGTGCCGCCCTCGGTCCCCCCCGCCCGCGGCTGGGGAGGCCGCGCAGGACTGTGGGCAGGGGCCGGCGCCGGCCGAAACTCGCCCGGAGGCGGCTCCCGCCCCGCCAGCTCCGTGCAGCCGCCGGCTGTCCGGCTGCCTCCCTCGGCCCCGCGCCCTCGCGGAGCCATTGGCTCCCGGGAGGCCGCTCCCGGGAGGCGAAGCGAAGCCCAGGCTTCCTGCCCACTTCAGGAGAACGCTCCGAACCGCGGGTGCGGCTCAGCCCGCGCGGTGTTCAGGGGTGAGCCTGGCCGCAGAGTCTCCTGCGCAATAACCTCCTGCCCCTCGTAGCATTCTTCCCCTCCCAGTGGAGAGAAAGTATGGAAAAAAGGAGAGGTCCGACGGTGTGGTGGGAATGTGCCTCAAACCTTTTGAAGCCCGTGCTGCTTCTTGTGTTCCAGACCGGGTCCCTGCGGCAGGACCGGGCTGAGCACGTAGCACCTCCGGATGTGCCCTTAGAGTCACCGCTGTTCCCCCAAGGCCAGCGCAATGACAGCAGTGGCTTTGAGTCACCACTCTGGAGCAGTGGGGCTGTCCCACCATCCAAGCAACCCAGCCACTCACTTTTTGCTCTGATAAAATTGACCCTGTGGAGATTTTGTTGATGCTGAGTCTCCACGCTGGTGGGCCACCCACACCAGTGATGTCGTGGGTAGAGCATCCTGTGCGCTGGTGTGGGGATGAGGAGAGATGCCAAGCAGCCTTGCACAACCCAAACACTCATGGGAAAGCTGTGTCTGCGTGAGCTCGTGAAATGCTTCTTCTCCTCTCTGAAACATGTGGTCCCTTCTGCAGAAGGGTTTCCACAAGCTGGCACTGGTGGGTTCAGCACTGGGGGCCAGCTGGGGGAGGACTGAGGCCTTGAGGCTGGAGCAAGGAGAGGGGTAGGAAGTGTGGTTGGCACATCTAGTGTGGGGTTTTTGTTATTCTGCAGCAGCCCTACTGCTTCCCTAAGTCAACAATGCTACCATGGCATTGTAATAGCACTCACAGAGCCCAGTCACAAACTTGGTGCTCTTACATGGGAGGGCTACTGAAGCCCCCGCAAAAGCAATGTGCTGCACCCTGATATGGGTGCAGGTGTTGTGCACAAGAGGCTGGGCAAAAGAGCCCTGCTCTCATCTCTCTTATTCAATCCTTCCTTCTTCCCAGCTCATGAATGTGTCAGTCCCCTCCTATGGAGGGAGAGCTGCTGCAGAAGAAAGGGGATTTGACCTGGATATGAAGAAATGCTTTCCATTGAATCCTGTTCCTTTGCATGCAACTACAACATTAACATTTCTGGATGGGGAATAAATGTATGTTTCAGATCCAGCACAGACACTCTGGTCCCAATCTCCATCACAGGTCAGGAGAAATAGGAAGACATGGATGCAGGGAGGCATTAAGTTGAGCACAGAGACTCAAGCTTTTGGAAGCATGTAAAGAAGCATTCAAGGCCAGAAAGGAAACCCATTTTGCAGGTCAGCATGGAGAGGTGGAAGCAGGGCAGGGGGCTACCAGCATGAGGGCAGCATCCCCGCATGCTGGGGATGTCAAGCAGCACACTACCTACGTTGAACCTCCTGCTCTTGCCAGGCAATTAAAGTAGCTTGGGAGTTTCTCACAGTCACCACTAGTTTTCAGGTGCTTCCAGATCTTGCCTCCAGCCTGGCTTCACCCCCAGGTAGCCAAGCCAAGTTTGCCAGTGGTGAGGGATCCTATGTGACCATTTGACTCTGATGCTCATCATGTAAGAACAAGCCCCCATTTCACCACCCTCACATTAAAGTGAGGAGTGTGACCCATGAGGCACTGCAAACTTAAGCCACTGAACCCAGACTGAAGCTGCTTGTTGGGCAGGGGTCAGGCACTGCTGCTGCAGCATTTTTGTGCAGCACGGCTCAGCTCATGCCTGGATTGTGGGACAGAGTTTGCCTTGGGAAGCCAAGGAGTGGTGTTGCACACCACATGGACAGCCATTACTGTGCTTGTCAGCATCTGGCCATTGACATCAGAGCCCTCCAGCTTCCCCTGTGATGGTACCCTGAGTGTTCCCGGGCTCTACCCTTTTCTTGAGCTTGCGACATCCAAATGCCCACAGAGGCATCGCCCTTTCAGCCTGGGACAGAGGGCAAACCCACATCATCCGGGAAAGGAACACTGGATGAAGGGTGTTGCCTACCCGCATCCCTTTCCACATCAGCTGAGGCTGACAGAGCATCGTGGGCAGGAAGGATGTACAGACCAGCAGCATCGTGGGCTCAAAGATCAGCTTTTCAGAGGAAACAGGGGCACCCGTCACCAACCACAAAAACCAGGATCAGCCTCAAACTACTGAGGCTGTGTAGCAGAGCCATGACAGGGCAGCTGCACAGCCCAGCAAGAGCAAGGGGAGCTGGTAATAGAGGAGATAGTGGCTGAAGGGGAGCATAAGTGCAGGGATAAAAAGAACATCCGCTTCTGGGACAAGCACTACAGCTCAGGAGGGACATGGCAAGAGCTCGCACAAGCAGTTCTTCCTCACTGGAGGCACCCTCTGGGACTCCACTGCCAGCCCCTGCCTCAGCTGCCAGACACAGGGTGCAGGGAGCATTGCAGTCCAGTCTGGGTCTCGATAGCAGCCTCGGTTTCTGCTCTGATCAATAGAGCAGAATGGGCTGGGCCATGCTATGACTGCCTCTGCTTTCGGGGATGGTGGCAGTGAGGCAGATGGTGGGGTTGGGTGCCCTGGGTTTGTTCGCTGGGGGGTGACATGGACCATGCCTGGCTGGTGCTTGGCAGCGGGCTGAGGGAGCCAGTTTCACCCTCCCCGAGCAGGGCCATGAGCAGGCAGCACTGCAGGTAGACAGCCTGTGTCCTCAGCAGCAAACACCCTCTTCCCAGATTAAACAATTTGTCTGGCACTGGGACAGAGAGCAGACAGCTCTATTAGGGACTGTTTGTCCTGATACAGGACAGCTCCATAACTAGCTTAATAACCTTCTGATAACAGGCAGAGGCACGCTCCGCTGGAAGAGCATAAAGGGCAATGACCGTCCCCTCCAACACAGGCTGAGAGAAGGCTGGGATGGCTTCAAAATAAAGTCCCTTTCCCTTTCACCCCCACAACTTGATTATGCAGCACAGTGGGAGGTACATGGCACAGTCCCTGCTCACCTCTCTCATGCTAGGGTCTCCTTCCCAGTTTCTGGGTGTTGACTTCTGCCAGCACCACATGCAGCACTTGAGCCCAGCCTGTGTTGGCTGCTCTTCTTCTGCCAGCCAAGCTGGAGGGCAGCCCACAGGGAAGGGGTTTACACAGCCCTGGGATACCGCTCTCTATGCTGGCTAAGGAGCACTGGCACCTCCAAGGGATGGAGCTGGCCAGGCAGGTCCATGAGCCGCAGGGAACACATGCCCTTTACTGCTACATCTCCATCGTCCTCTGGAGATGAGACCAGCGGGAATATTCTGCCAGAAGTAAATGACCAGTCACTCCAGTCACCCAGTTTGATTAGAAACAAGGCTTCACTAGTTCCATGTAGTGCAAGGGGATGACAGCTAACCCTCAGGCTATGAATGCTCAAGGCAGTACTGTTTTAGAGGGCAGAGAAATGCAGCAGAAAGCACCGAAACTTTCATCAATGAGGTGAACAACAGAGTAAGGCAGGGCTGGTATGTGCCCATGGAAAAGTGGTGTTAGCTTCAGGCTCATGTCAATGGCCAGCCTGAAGCCTAAGCCCACAGCTGCCTGCAGCCTGTCTCTAGAGCCCTATGGCCACCCCAGCCTGGGCATCCCTCCAGCTACATACACCTTGAGACGAGACCGCTCCAGGTAGGCACAGGCAGGGAAACACTGAGGTTCAGACCAGCCTTGCTCCGCGCTAGCAGTTGAGCACTGGAGCCAAGCACACCCAGAAAAGGAGAAGGGAAAAAGAGGGAAAATCCACATTGTTTGAGACCACAGCTGGGGGACTGCATAATCAAAACCGAGACAGGTAGCAGGTATCTGCAGCTGGTTCAACAGATATCCCACCTTTCTGCAAACCCCAGCTCTCCTACACAGCCTGGTCGGGGCTGCCTGCAGTGCTGGAGAGGCAGAGCGTGTCAGGGGAACCACTGCACACACCCAGCTGATGCAATGAGGCCAGTTAATGTAATCACTGCACGTAGTGCAAGAGGCAGAGCATTGTGATCACAGAGGAACCACAAAGGGGTAAATCTGTAATAACTAGGACAAAACGCTAAGGGAAAACAAAGTGTTTCATGAAGAGGCAGGGGACAGGTTGTGGCAGCGCACGTGAGCTTCCCTGTCAGTCCAGTGGCCAAAGGAATGCAGAAGAGCAGGAAGCTGTCAACAGAACCAAGAGGCTAATGCTGAGCTGAGAGCACAGACCAGCACAGACCTAGCAAGGAGCAGAAGCAAATGAGTAGTCACTTCTGCAGTAAAAAGCAGGAAGAGCTTGAGGACTATGGACAAGCACACAACCAAAACCTTTGGTTCTGGCAGTCCACAGTTTGCCAGGCCCCTCAACACATACGCAGATGCTGGTGTGGCAGAGGTGTCGCTTCGCTAGGATTGGCAAAGAAAGTTACAGGGATAAGCTTTCTCAGGGGATCAGCTTAAGCAGAAGAGGCATCAATGAACTGGTTCAATAACTACAAATTTGACTCTTGCCCTTTGTGAAAAACACAGATAAAGAAGGTAAAGATAGAACTTACACAAGCTCCTTAAATGGCTAGATGAAGACATAAAACCCTACTGGTCTTTACTGGCTCAGCTTTCTTAAGAGTCCTTCCCTGGACAAAGCATGGACTGAGCTCACT